TGAAAACACAAAGAGCGAATGGAGAAAGGAAACGAACTATGCAATTTGAACTGAACATTATTCATCATTTGGATCAATCACAATGAACACAATACATTATTCTATACTTCATCTGATTATTCGCGCCAACTTCAATTAAAAAAAACGTTTATATCGAAAATAAAATTATATATATAAAGGATACAGACAGGCCAGGCGGCCTGGTGTTTTTAAGCCGCCTGCCTGCCTGGACGAGGGTTCGGCCTGGCCTGCCTGTCACAGGCAGGCAGGCAGGCCTAGTGGCCTGGTTGATGCTCTGGTAACATTCATCTAGTATTTTATACTCTCGATATAAATAGGAGAGTGAACTATACATGAATTAGAATTAAATCGACAGGAAAAGAATTGCAAATACATGAGTTCGATTTCGGCAGTGTATATAAAAAATAGATATTAGCATATTATTTTACTCATTATAATTAATAATTAAAATAAAACTCGATAAGAATATTTTGTGGCGTGTACTTAACTAATCAAATTGATTATTCTAAAGAATATCATCATTCATGTCATCAGCTTATCAAATCTATCGTTCAACAACTATTGATTTGACTCTTCACGATACCCTTCATGAACTTGTTTAACGTCAAATACTTAGTTCTCGTGCTGTTGATTTTATTTTTAATGTTTTTGATGAAATTATCAATGAAAAATTAATTTTTCGACCAGTCAAAGAAAAACCAGAAGCTTGTCTTTCTTTCAACAGCCATCTTCTTTCCTATAGATCTTGTGATCAAGTATGGACGCTACTTTTTGACTCATTAATATTAACATCAACAAATAAAGATTCATCATGGAAAATGAATTTAGCTAATCAAAGTAACAAAATAAAAATAATTAGTTGTCCTGCAACAAAATTAACTTTATCGAATAGCGAACAAATAACAACGGATGAAAATGATTTTAAAATAAAATCAAAATCTTTGAAAAAATTTAAATCTAAGTAAGTATCAAATAATAAATTCATATTGTTGTGGAGATATTATCAAAATTTTTCATTTGATCTCCTTACATAAATTGATGTCTAACAATATTTTTCATGAACATTCTGATGTTAGTATTCAATCGATGAAACTTTCTCTTGAATTTTTCGGCTTGGAACATAACATTTCAATAAAAAATGATTTCTTTTTAATAAATTGGATCTCAACATATGTCACAGTTGACATGAGAATTTCAGTTGAGATTGGAATGCGCGAAATAATTTAAACAATAAAAATTTAAAAAAACTCTTTTTTAATTATAAGGCTTTGATAAAGAATCAAAAACAATTCATTTAAATAATCATTAACGAAGGAAGTCCTATTAAAAACATTTAGTAAAATATATCAATATAAATTTTTGGTTTTATTAATAAAACATGCAACCAAGACTTTCGCTTGATATATTTTGCTCTTTGAATAAACTTTTGATTTGCATTTGTGAGTCATATTATAATTAGTATTCTCTGTCCTATTCATATAATTGTAGTATAAGAGCATGGAAGAATTAGTTATTCTTCGATAATTTATCATATCAATTTAAAACTATTTACAAAT